CCCCCACCCCCACCCGGCCCCCCGGATCAGCGCCCAGACTGCCGCCCTCCCCTAGACTCTCCCGGTTCTTGGTCTGCCCTGACCGCGCCCTCCCACGCAGGCCAGGGACTCGGTCCGCGCCTCGGCGGCGGGGCTTCTCGGGACGCTGGTGCGGCGGGGCCGGGGCGGGCTCCCGGTGGGCCTCCGCGGCCCCCTGAGGAAGCTGGTGCTCCAGAGCCTCATCCCTTTGCTGTTGCACCTGCAGGATCCCAGCCGGGACGCTGCTGAGGTGGGCTGCCCCCCAAGACTGCCCCACTGCTGTCCCCATCGAGTCCTACCCATTCCCACCCTGTGTGTCTCCTAAGATGAGAGGTCAGGGATTTCTACAAGGACCTCGGGTGCCAGTGTCAAGGGCTCCCGGTTCCTGGTCTTTCCTGGACCACTTGCCCTGGGCTCTTCCACCCCTCATCCACCCCAGCTACCTCTTGCCGCTTTCTGGACCCTAACCCTGCTCCCTTCCCCTGTCGTAGAGTTCAGAGTGGACCCTGGCCCGCTGTGACCAGGCCCTGCGTTGGGGCCTGCTGGAGGACGTGGTCACTGTGGCCCACTACGACAGCCCTGAGGCCCTAAGCCGCATCTGCCGCTGCCTGGTCAGTAGCGGACAGTGACAGCGATCGGGTGTGGTCAGCTGCCCACTTGGTCCAGTATACACCAGGGCACTCCTGCCAAAACTGAGTCTCCTTGCTTTCCCAGCCAAGGTGGTGGCAGATCTAAGACCGCAGGCCCCGGTGCCTTGCACTGGGGGCTCCCCAGGGGACCCCAGGCCCTGGGCTTGCGTCTGTCACCTTCTCTTCATGTGGGATGGGTCCTCCTGCACGGTCTTAAACCCATCTGCCCCCAGGTTCAGCAGTGCCCAAGTCACATCCCCAGCTTCCTGAGCCAGACCCAGGGCTACCTACGGAGCCCACAGGACCCCTTGCGCAGGGCAGCTGCTGTGCTCCTAGGTGAGGCGGTCCTGGTGTCTGTCCCTCGAGCTCAGAGCTCTGGGAGCTGGACCAGCCCTTCCCTGATGGGGGCCTGGGGCCAGCGCTCACAGGCACGTCTTGGTCCAGGTTTCCTCGTCCATCACACCAGCCCCGGCCGCGTCAGCCAGGACCTGCTGGACTCCCTGTTCCAGGGTAAGGACCCAGCTTGCTCACCAGGGTATGGGGTCCTGGAGAGGCTGGGGGCGCTAGGATGGAGTGGATGGGAATGGATTGGGTGGAGGGCCAGGGGCCTGGGGTTCTGAGAGCCCTCCGACCTTGCCTGAGCTGCCCTATCCCTGCAGAGCTGGGGCGGCTGCAGAGTGACCCAGAGCCCGCCGTGGTCGCCGCGGCTCACGTGTCCTCCCAACAGGTGGCGCTGCTGGCCCGCGCACAGGCCCGGCCCCGCCGCCTGCGTCAACTCCGCCCAGGCCTCTGGCACCACACCCGGCCCCTGCCAGTCTATGCCAACAGCCCATTCCAGCCCCGGAGCTTCATAGGCCGCTGGGGCTGCCTGGGACCTGGCTGAGCCTGACCCCGAGCCAGCCCGGAGGGTACCTGGGGTCCCAGTCCGACAGCGCACTGCTCTGTGGCCAGTCCTGGCAGGGGCAGGTCTGCAGAAGAGGTCCGCTTGAGGGCCGCCCTGGGCCTGGTACTGGATGCACACAAACCCTCCCTCTCTAGGAACACACCGCCACGACGGCCACGTGACCTAGGACAGCCGCGCCTTCTGTCCGAGCACCATCTTGCCCTCGGCCCCCCCCCCCCCCGCCTCTTGCACCCATGGGTCCGTCTGTCCCCACTTGGGCCTGTTGCTCTCCCAGCTCCCTGGAGTGTGCCCCGCATTCCCAGCCTGGATGGCACCTGGCCTCCCGAGCTGGGGTCCGGTGGGGGACACCGTGAAACTGGTCCGACCCTGCGAGCTGGCGCCATGATAGGCTGCCTGCTTCCCGGGTCTTTGCGAACAGCCCGGCTCAGCCTCCCCTGCCTGTCCGGGCTCTCCTCCCCAGCAGCCCATCGTCCCCCATCACATGTCCCACTCCTCACTGGCCTGGCCCCATCCCCCCACACCCCCACTCCTGGGCATCGTGTTTTCCCCAGATTTCCCCTGACTTCCCCGCTGGAGGCTTGGGTGACACTGTGGTTTCAGGCGTGAGGTGCCGCCATCTGCATCCACTAGATGAGCCCTCAGCTGGCTCTCCGGCGCCCTGCCCGGGCTTGAACGAGGATAGCATGACTGCACCTGCTGGGAAGAAGCCTCTCTGGGCCCTGGTGGGCTTCTCCACCCAGAATGCCTACCTTGAAATGTTCTCTTGCCTTTCAAGGCCCACCCCCCAAAGCCATCTCCTCAGAGAGGCCTTGGCTCACACAGTCTCTTGGAGGATTAGGACCAGTCCCCCCAGTCTGGGGACCCCTTGGGGTCCTGCCTGCCCTCTGTGGAAAGTGTTTAAAATAAACACAGATTGGATTAAAAGGGTCTGGCGTGTGTCTGGGGACTGGGTCTGGGCCAAGGATGGAGTCCTGATGACCTTGGCCTGCTACAATATCCAGCTCAGGCTGGGATTACAGATAAGGCAGAGTGTAGCCAAGAATAAGGGTCAGCCCGCCGGGCGGGGTTAGAGTCAGGATGGTTCAGGGTCCAGGTTTATGGCCAGTGTCAGGCAGGGCTTTGCCTGAGACAAAGAGAAAGCTCAGGAGCTCAGGCAGGAAGGAGATTAGGTCTCTCTAGGCCCAAGCAGGGTCAGGCCAAGGGCATGGGTCTGTGTGGAACCAGGGGCATGGTTTGGTGTATTAGTTTAGACCCTCCAAGGCAGACGTCAAAACAAGATTAAGCTACAAGAAGAGGCCCTCAGACTCCCGGGAAGGATGGGAGGGGGAAGGAAAGGATTGTTTGGGGTGTCCTGGGAGGCTGTGCTGACCTGGGGGCTCTCAAGCCAGTCACCCATCCAGGAGGACCGCAGCTCCCAGGATGGGGGTGCTGGGCAGGGCTGGGTCTCCCTCTTCAGTTTCCCTCCAGGCAGCTGGCGTGTGCGGGGAGCATCCTCAGAACCCCTGATTTGATCTGGGCCCGAAGCTGGGCCGAGCAGGGGCCTTGTGCTCCTCTCAGTGATGGTCCCTGAGGGCAGAAGCAAGCCCGGCCTCCCCACAGCTGCAGCCCGGGAGCCAGAACCTGGGGTGAGTGTTCGCTGCCCACTGCCGTCACCAAGCAGAGTACGGCTGGGCAGTGATGCCCTCTCGGAAGGAGGTCCCAGGCTCAGATGAAGGCTCGGGCATGCAGCACCCGGCCCCTTCTCGCCCCACCTCCGTGCTGCCCACACCCCACCCGGTGAGCAGGAGTGCAGGCTGTCTCTTGCACAACGCATCTGCCGGCTCATGGTCGTGTGTCCACCCCCACCTTGCTATACCCCCTCCCCCGCAGTACCTGCAAGCCCCGCTGGACTGCCTGGCCACCAGGTGTGAGGTTCATCAGAGTTCATGTGGCCCGAAGGCCCGGAGTGTGGCTGCACTCCGGGAGAGTGAGTCTTCTCAGGGACTCCTCTGCTGGGCTGCCCCGTCCCATGGCCATGCCTCGGCCCTGTGTGTGGGTGAGTGTGTCCAGCCTGGGGGGTCTGCCCGCACAGGGCCCGCCAACCTGCTGCTAGGGTTGGACCACGCTTGCTGCCCTGGTCTCAGTGCTCTCAGGGCACTCGTGGCCTTGGAACCTGAGGACCAATGGTCCGACGCTGCAACTGGGGCTTGGTGGGACCACCCAGGGCCCGCCTTCTCCCCTGCCTTGAGGGTGACCTCAGGGCCCAGCAGCTCCTGTTTCTCGAACACTTCCTAAGACTGGGGCTCTTGCAGTACCGCTCGTTCACCTTGGTTTGCCTTTCAAGTGCCCCCTGACGGGGTTTCCCTAAAGAGAAGCGTGGGCCCTGGAGACGTCAGACAGGCCTGAGGGGCATCGAGCTTCTTCCTGCAGTGTGTAGCCTGGATCAGGGACGTTTGGGGTGCAGTCTGCCTTTGTTCTGATATTAATTTCGCTCTTGGGCTGGGATGCTAGATACTCTCCGGGGCTAATGTCCTAGCTCCCGCCGAACCTACCGTCCGTCCTCTTCGGTGAGGCCTGAAGCTGCCGGTCAGTGACGGACCACCCCTCCCTCCACCTTCCAGCACGCAGAGGAAGGCTGACTGCAGTTCCCACCAAGGAAAAGCAGATTTCCCGGCTGTGCACCTTCCTGGAGACGCGGCCACGTCAGTCACCACCTGTGCCTACGCTCGGGGCCGCCTCTGCCACGGGCGGCTGAGGCCCGCTGAACGCCCAGGGATCTGCAGCTCGGGGGCCAGGAGCTCCCGCGTCCAGGGACGGACTCTCAGCTTTGAGCAGAGGTGTTCGGACGAGACCTGACTGTTCAGACGAGGTCTCTGGCGTGGGTCACTGCCTGTCCAGGAGCCTCCGCGCAGCCCCAGGAGAACAGGTCTGTGCTTGTCAGCCTCACCTGCTCTGGTCCCCTCTGCAGCCCCAGTTCTCGAGTTCCCCGAGGCAGCTGCACGCTGTCCCTGTTCTTTCACAGGCCAGCCCGCGGGGGAGGGGCCGGGGCCCAGCCACACGGCTGGTCTCTCCAGAGTGGCCAGGTCCCAACACAGGGCGGCCCCCTTCGCCCCACGGCACCACAGCAGCGAGACCACTGAGGGGACACCTGTGCTCAGCCCCCTCCTGTGCTCCCTCCCCGGACCTGGGGCCCCCTCAGAAACTCGGTGAGCCATCTTTCCTTTGTACATCACATTTATTGGCTTTCCCCAACTCCCAGGATGAACTGGCTGCAGGCCAGGTTGGGCTCTCGGCCTCCCAGGGTTGGCAGCGGGTGGGCTCCCCACCCCGCAGAGCTGCCCAGGCGAGCAGGCTCCACCCTAACAGCAGTCCTGGCTCAGGCCTAACAGCAGAGCCAGGCAGGCGTAGAGTGCACACGTGCGGCCCTGGGCCTGGGGCTCCCAGCACACCTGGGGAACGTCCACCTGCACCCCCAGGCCGCATTCCTCCAGCAGGACCCAGGCAGGTGCCTCTGGGTCCCAGCTGCTCCCCAGGAGCTCTTGTGGCAGGGACACATGCCTGCGCTCCTGCCAGGGGGTGCTCTGCTCCAAAACGCTCCCCACCTGCTAGAACGGGGAGGGAGGGTGCCAGTGAGCTACCCTTCCCCCGCCTCCCCCCAGCATCCAGCACCTGCCCACATCACTCCATCCTAGGAGCACCTGGGGCCCCACACCACAGGCCCAGCCCCTTCCCCTGCAAGCTGCAACCCGCGCTCTCTTACCAGTTTGAGCTGCCCGGACAGGCCTTCTGTCTCCAGCATCTCCACGAGCAGCTCATGCTGGCTCTCACTCAGCACTGGGGGGAGACTTCAGCTAAGAGGGGGTTCCAGAAGGACCCGCTGGACAAGCCCATATCCCTGCCCCTCCCTGCCTCAGCCCAGGAGCCTCTCACCAGCTAGCGCTTCCACCAGGTAGAGGATGGGGCCGGCCAGGTGCGTTTCCAGCTCTCCGGAGCTCTGCACCAGGCACTCGAGGAGGGCGTCCACTGGACCATCCAGGGGGGCCACCGACCCACAGCACAGGCCCTGTTCCAGCTGGGGACATGTGGAGGGGCCGGTGAGTCCGGGGGGGCCGGGTGCAGGCCCCTCCCGTCCGGCCCAGGCCCCTGGGCTGCTCACCGCGTCCTCCAGGGTTTGCAGGGCTGGCTCTTCCCGAAGCACCTGCACCAGGCCTGCCAGCAGCCGCTCGCACAGTTCCTTGGACAAGCCCTGCAGGACGTGGGCCTGGGCCCCCACCTCTGCCTGCAGGCCCCGGAAGTCTCCCGTGACCGCCGACCAGTCCTTCGCAAACCCGTCTGCGGGGAGAGGGCCGGGACTGACCCTGGAGAGCCCTGGTTGGGAAGGGCGGACTCCCAGGGGGCAGAAAGGGGCGCCCACCCAGGTTCCCAGGGTTGTCAAGAAGGTACTGACCCGACTGTATTTTGAAGCATCCGGAGAGCAGTGACTGGCTGCCTGCGCCTCTTGTAAGCTGGTGGCCTGGGCGGGGCAGGTGAGTCAGGGCGGGGAGCAGGCCCCGGGCCTCCCAGTGCATCGCCACCAGCCCAACACCAGCAGCCTGGGCAGGGGTGAGGCGGGGCCAGGCCGGCGCTGGTGTTGCCTCAGAGCCCCCCCCCCCGGCCTGCGCGTGCGCGTGTGCGTTTACTCTCGCCACCGGTCCCCAGGAGCCTCCGGCTGAGCCGGGCTGTGCAGGAGGCCCCAGTCCGGGTGGCGGGGGCACAGGCCTCACCTTTCTTGGGCAGCCCGAAGGTCCTCTGCTTCTTGTGCTTCTTGTCCCGGAAGAGGAGGATATCTGGCAGCCAGGTGGGAGCAGAGATGGGGGGCAGGTCGGCCAGTGACCCCAGCCTCTCCCTCACCCCCGGCCTACCGGGCTCCTCAGCCGCCCAGGAACGTGCAGCCGAGTGCCTGCCTCTGCCATGGGGCTTGGGCCCCAAGAGACACCCTAATTCCAACTCACCCCAGTCTGAGTCAATAAGCAGCTGGGCCACCTGGAAGGCAAGGATGCTGCCTGAGGGGATGGTGACTGTCTTCTTCCGGCTCCGGTGGCCCTGGCCTTGGCCCTGAGGGATGGACGTGGGCTCAGGACTGGGCTCTGGGTCGTGAGGTTGGGTAGGCTGGGTGCTGGCGGCGGGGGGCTGCCCGGGGCACCCCCGCCTGCCTTCCCGCCCCCTGCCTGATCCATGGCCCATGCCGCGCACCTGCAAAGATATGGCTCCAAGCAGTGCAAACTGGCCAGAGCCCTCCTGCTTACGGGTCTGGGTGACCTTCACCTCCTTCTGCGTCTGCAGCACCTCCGTCACCACGAACACGTCGTTCCCACAATTCCGCAGCTGCTGTAGGACCTTGTGCTCGGGCTGCCGCAGGCGCCTGTGGCAGGGGGTCGGCCTGGAAGCTGAGGGGGTGTGTCCTGCCCTCCCCAGCCCAGGGCCACGTTGCCGGGGGGCTGATGCGGCCCAGGCACAGGACTCCCATTATTCCCTCCCTGGTGGCTCCCAGTAGTGTTCGTGGGGCGGGGAGGAACAAGATCCAGGATGCTGAGTGGACACCTGCAGACCCCTGGAGATACCCACCCCTCGGCCGGCCGCTTGTCTAGCTGCTTCTCCCTCCATTCCCTGCCCCTCCCTGGATTCAAATTTCAAATCTCCACCCCGAACTAATGATCCTCCTCAGGCTGTCCCTGTGTCTGCTCTGCTCCACCCCAGCCCTCAGGAGGCAGTCCCCCATTACCTCTGCAGCCGCCTTCCCTCTGCCGGGCTCAGCATGCCCCTGGGGACTGCCCCCCCGCCCCGGCCACTGTGCTGACCCTTGGCCTGGCACAGACACCCTGTGACTCCTGACACTCCGGGGTTGCGACCCAGCAGCTGCTTGGGGTTGGCAGGGCCCCACCCCCCGGGGGGCTCACCGCTCTTGCTTCATGGCGTCCCAGATGTTGGGGTCCACTTGCAGTGTACGCACGTTCATCGAGATGCTGAAGTTATCAAACACCGCCGCCCCGCCTGCAAACCTCCCCTGTCCTGGGGCTTCCAGCTCCCCGCTGCCTTGCAGCTCCCCGTCCATGGAGTCGTAGACGTGGATGGGCGCACTTTGTTTCACAGCTAGAGCCAGACCAGAGCTGAGGCCCCGTCCTCCTGCCCGCCACCCGTCCCACCTGGGCAGAGGGACCTTTAAAAAGGCCCTGTCCTTTGAAACCAGAAAGCCCAGAAGCCCAGAGCAGACAGCAGGCTGGCCAGTTGCCTCCCCTCCCAGCAGGCGGGGTACCTGGTTCTGGGGCATCAGGCTCCAGAATGTCCCTGATAGACAGGTTGATGCTCTTGTAGCGGGGTTTCCAGAACCACGATCTCGAGAGCTTCCTTCCCAACAAGTAGTAGGGCTGGAAGCTGGTGGAGCTCCGCAGGCTGTCCACGGGGATGAGCTCGCCGCTGTGGTCCAGCTCCCGGACCACACTCTTGATCACGCTCTCAAAGGCAGATGCCATTGCTCCTGAGGAGGATAGATGGGTCAGCCATGCTGCCCTCAGGGCTAAAGGAGAGGGGGATGGGGCAACAGTTGCTACTTGGATGCCTCCAATGACAGGGAGCTCTTTTCTCCACAGGCCGGTCCTGGGACGCTCTGACGGTCAGAAAACTCCTGCTCCTGATCATTAGCACAGAAAGAAACCCAGTGTCTACCCTGTCATGCATTGCAGCGTCTCTCCGTGGGGCTGGGACGGCATTCGCACCATCTGTACCATGGCCAGAGTGCCCACAGGGAGCCCGGGAAAGCGCTGGGACTCTCAGAGCTGGGGGGGGCAGCCCTCAGCCACCCCCAGAAACCTTTGTCACTTTGTCAGCCCAACAAGGCTTAGAGCCACTCCTGAAAAGCAGCTCCCGGGGGAGGGGAGGGCAACGCAGGGGCCTCAGGGGGACCCCAGCCCAATGCTCTAGCTGCTGCAGCAGCCGTCTCCCTGGCTGAGGTGTTCAGAGGGCAGAAGCAGCAGGAACCACCAAGCTTCTGGGGACTTGGCAAAGGGCCCCCAGCAAGGTCCAGCCACAGCATCCCCAGCTTCCAGGTACATCCTCTAGGGCTTTTTCTGTGCCCAGAGTTCCATGAGCCACCAGTCCAAGGCTGAGACTTCAGGGACCAGAGGCCAAAGCAGGCCTGACCCAGGACACAGGAGGCCTGGGCCCCGGGCCACAGGAGGCGGGCTTTCCCAGCCATTCTGGTCAGTAGGAAACCTCTGAGCCTCCGTGCTGGTCTGAATTCAGAGTGGGCCAAGGGGTGCCTGAAAGGCACCCCCCCGGAGTCAAGCCCAAACCCAGATGGGCTTCCCAGAGGCCTCAGGCTTCCCTAAATTGGTCTGGGATTGTGGGGAATCCTGGGAGGGTGCTGGGACCAGGTGATCCCCCAAAAGGGCCGGCATCACCCCCACTGAGCATGAGCTCCACCCCCCCCACCCCGGCAGCAGGGAATGGCATTGGGCGCGAGGTGCAGCTCACCGTGACTGTCACCCCAGGTTCCGGGCCCACGACGGCAATCAGGTCCACCCTGCAGACCCGAGTTGTACTGCTGCTCTGCTGGGGAGCTCTGAGTAAGTGCACAGGGCGGGCGCCCAGACCCAAAAGTGAAACTTCAGTCTAGTGACGCCCAGCCGGCCAGCACTCCCAGAAACGCCCCAGCCAGTGCACCCCGCGGGGCCCCTCTGCCCGCTCAGAGTGGGGCCCACCAGCGGCCCCAGCGCCCACAGCCTCCACCTCCAGCTGGTGGTACTTCCCGTGGTTTCCTGCTTTCAACTCAAGCCCATCAGACATTCCTCCAAAGGAAATGTGCAGAAGGTCAGCGAGCACCGCGAAGACGTTTACATCACGAACCAGCTGAGAGCTGAAAGCCCAACCCCGCTGAGAAGCTCCCCCACGCCCCACACCCCCTCTGCTGTCCCAGATCCCACCATGCAGGGGGGAGGACGGGGAGGGGGGGAGAGACTGGGGCCCCCACAGGTTCCACAGAGAACCACCCTCAGCCTCACCCCTCCTCTCCTAGCTGGGCTCAAAAGAAATGAAAACATAGGTTCACACCAAAACCTGCCCGGGAAGGCTCACACAGCATTATTTGAAAAAACCAAAATGTAGAAACAACCCAAACGTCCATCAGCTGAGTAAAGGGCACGTGACATCCTCGGGAAGACCTAGGAGAGAAGGGCCGTCAGCCCTGGGAAGGCAGGAAGGACTGACGCGCTGCGACCCGAATGGGCACGGGTGGGCCTCCAAAGCAGCAGATCCACAGACAGTAGACGAGCGGCGGCCGGGGCGGTGGGGGGGGCGGGGGTCATAGCTAATACGTACATGGTTTCTTCTGAGGGGACGAAATCCTCTACAGTCAATTGTGGTGCTGGTGTCTGACTCTGGATATGCCAAAGCCCGTGGAGTTTTGCACCTTAAGTGGGTGGATTGCGTGGTATGTGCGTTACGTCAGTAAAGCTGTCACTGAGAAAATCTGGGGTCGGGCTTCCACGCGCAGGCGGCCACCAGCCCCTCAGCGCCCCTGTTGTCCGGGTTGTGGAGACTCGCCCCCCGCGGGCTCCTTCTCCCACCGCGGCCCGCCTCGCGCTGACCCGGGATGCTCCCGAGCCCTCACCAGAGCCCCTCCGGCGGGCCTCGCACACCCCGAGGCTCCCCCACGCTCGGCCACTCAGTCCGCACACAAACCCGCAAGCCATCCCTGGGGGGTCATGAGGCCGCTGGGGCGGCTCCCGTCCCCAGGCCCCGAGCCCGGGGCGCAGGCCTGAGGGCTCTCCGGGGTGGCGGGTAGAGGTGCTGCTTGGCGCGGGGCCCCGTCTGCTGGTGTGAAGGGGTGCCCTCGGCAGCGGGGAGGCTCCGAGAGCCTGAGGAGCTCGGGCTGGGAGTGTGCGTGTGTGCGGTCTGTGTGCACACGCAGGTCTGTGTTCGCGTGTACATGCGTTCCTGCGTGTCTGTTGCGTGTGCGGATACGTGTGTCCGTACACGTTGGTGTGCGTCGTGTGCTGTCACGTGTTGGGGGCCGCAAGGCCTACTACGGCCTCTGCTGTCGATGCCGGAAGGCTGTCCTGCCTGGGGTCCTCTCCCCTGCAGGCAGCCTGCTTCTTTCCCTGCTCCTGCACGCGGCCGCCCCGGGCACTGGGTCTGAGGCAGGGGTGCCAGGCAGGAGCCATCCGTGGGCGGGAGGGGCAGCGCGCTGGCCACGTTGGCCACGGCAACCACGGACGGTGGCACACGGTGCCCCCCTGCCTTGAGGCTGTTACCTGGGGCTGCCACGCCTCAGGCTGGGTGGGGTGGGGCCAGGGCACGGCTGCTGTTCCCATTTTCAGTTCTTCAGCAATAACCAAAACAAGAGGGACTCCTGACTCCTGCCAGAGGACAGAGGTCAGCCTGACGGGGCAGGAGAGAGCCTGCTGGGGAGAAAAGGTGGAAAGAAGGTGGGAGGGGCTGGCCCTGCACCCCATCCCCTCCCTGGCTCCCATTCAAGAGGCGAAGGGTGGGCGCCAGGAACTCTGGGGCGCCATTCTGTCCTCCTCGAGCCCTAGGTTACACTGAGGTAGGTAAGGCCGCCCGGCCAAGGCCTGGGGGTCCACAGCTAGAGAGCACACACGTCTCTGAGGGCACGCTGTGACCCCAGACGGAGCCAGGGAAGGCACTTCCGTCTGTGCGCCTGGAGGGGTCAGCAAGGCCGGCTGCCCCAAGGTGGAGGAAGCTCTGGGCAACCAGGGACTCGGCCTCCACCCACCGGGTGTGCGGGGCTGGTGCAGGGCGTGGCAGTGGCAATCCAGCGCAGACCCTGCCCTGGGGGTGCCCAGCCCCTGGCAAAGGGCTTTCAGATCCCAGAGATAAGCCAGAGAGCTCTGGCGGGAGCGGCCCCATCGCGGAGGGGATGGGCGAGCGGCCGAGGCAGCTGAATTCCAGGCTCAGGGTGGCGCGCACCAGGGCAGGCGCCAGGGGCAGCAGGTTCCGCGGGTCCGCGATGGGGGCCCATGCAGCGCCCCCACCCCCACCCGCCCGTGAGTGGGAGCTGCCCAGGCCCGCTCCACCCAGCGCCGGCCCTTCCAGGGACATTCCCCGGCTTCCTGCGGTGCCGGGAAGTCGGCACCCATGCCCTCCGCAGGCTCCCGCGGGGGGCTGGGCTCCCCTTCCTCCCACCCGGTGCCTACATCTCTGTCCCGCCCTCGGGGCCACTGGGAGCCCTTGCTGGCGGCTGCTGCAGGGCCAGACGGTGCTAAGCGCAGACAGAAGCCCCAGAAGTCCCATCTTGTGGGGACTGAGTCCCCCGCGGGGCATCCCTCCCGCCAGTGCCACGGCCACCCGTCAATAGCCCGGACGCTGGGGCGCATCTGCCCAGCACTGCTCAGTCAACGGTGGGCAGATCTCCGGGGGGGGTGGGGGGGACGGGTCAGCCCCAGAGCAGGGCAGTGTCAGTTCAGGGGTGCCCCAGGAGTCAGGAGGGGCGTGGACGGCAGGAAGGCAGCGGGCCGCTGCTTCCTTTCAGAGTCCCCTGCCCTGGGACCTGCTGTGATCTCTCCGGTCCCCTGAGCTGTCTGCCTGCTGGGGCGGGGGCCACAGAAGCCCGTCCCACCCCAAAGGGGCCTCTGCCCGAGGACGCGCACCCCTTGCTCTTGCTTCTGGTTTTCCGAGCCTCACTCTGCCCCAGCTGGGAGAAGCGCTCACTGCTGGAGCCCAGGCCTCGCTGGGGCAGGAGGGGAGTAGTTATCCGCTGGACACTCTAGTGCTGAGGTTCACTCAGTACTGGGCCTGTGGAGGGTGGTCTTCGTGAGATTCATCTATCCTGGTCCCTGAGAGCCTTGTGGAAATGCTGCGATTCTGGGAACAGGAGACCGAAACACTTTTCTCCTAGAAGGATCTGGCCCAGAGGGTCTGAGAGTCGTGCTCTCTGGCGTGGGTTAGGTGTGGGGTGGATGCTGGGGTGAAGCAGGGGTCCATAGGGCCCCTGAGAGCATTTGTCTTCCACAGTAACGCCCTGCTCCCTTCCCTCTGAAATGAAAGGTGAGGGGGCATTCATGGGGTAGTGGTCTCAGCCTGCCCACCACCTGTTCCCACCTGAGGACTCCCACCTGCTTGCATATCTAGAGGGAAGGAGTTGGCAGGAGGGTCCCCAAGGGCTCGGGTGGGGGAAGCAGATAACGCAGGACAGACTGGACATTTTGTGAATATTCCCTGACAAAAGCGCACTTGGCTACACCGCATTCCCTTCGGGGAGGTGCTGCGCTCCGGGGTAGCTTTATGCTGTGGGGCCGGGCGGAAGTGGCTGTGGTGGGACGAGCTCAGGAAGGAAGCAGCCTGCCTGGCTGCAGGGCAGAGAAAACACGCAAAGGGAAAGGGGAAGCTGGGTGTGGGAGAAGGTGGGGGCCGCCAGGGCTCGGGGAGAAGACAGCCCTGCGAGGAGAGAGAAGTTCTTCACAACGGACGCGGGCACCTGGGCAGCCCTCTGGGAAGGAGCACCTCGGGGTGGGGGAGAAAGGCTGCCGGCAGTGTGGGTGGTCAGCAAGAAGACAGCACGGCGGGGGGGGGGACGGCCACCCAGCGGCCGGCCCAGGATGTGCAGGACGGGGGAGGCCCAGACAAGGACCTACCTGTCCCTCAGATGGAAGTGACCCCGGAGACGGTTGTGTCACCTGAGTGTGCTGATGTCTTGACACCAGAGCAGGGCCTGGCATGCTGTAAAGAGCTATTAACAGGCTAAGTATTTTTGTCTGGTGTTCATACAGAATGTGTCATTTGAGGGGAATTCCTAAAAATGCAATTACTCAGAAAGTACTCAGGGTCTTGGCACACATTGCAAATTGCCCTTCAGAAAGGCTATGCCGATGTCCAGAGTAAGCAGTGTGAGTTTCTGCCCCCCTGACCCCCTGAGCCAACACTGAAGGCAGATTGGTTTCATTTTTGCCAGTCTGATGGGCGTCAACGAGTTCTGAATGTAACTGTTAAGATAGATTTTAGTAGGTTAACTGTGACAGCACTTACATTCTACTTACAGTTTCTCAGCCCTAGGAGACAAATCTCCACACCGTGCATCCTCTTGGCAAGTGGCCGGGCTCTCCTCTCCGCCACCCCTGGACCGGACAGCTTGTCCAGACACCCCTGGTCCAGACGCAGAAGAGAACAGGCTCAGTGCTAGACTCACGAATCTCGGTTTGTGCTGTGTAAGAAATTACCCCAAACCTTAGTGGTGTCAACAACATCTGCTCATTCACTCATAGATGCGTGAGCTGCTCTAAATTATGCCATTAGGCTGGACACAGCTGAAATGGATCATCTCTGCTCCACGGGGTATCGCCTGGGTTCACGGCTTTGGAGTTAGCTGGCAACAGATCCTCTCACGTGTCTGGCTGATGGCTGACCATCAAAAGGGTCAGTGGTATAACTGGACACGTGCTGTCCCTCCTCTATATCCAGCCAGCCCTGACTCGTTCACAAGGTGATGGTTGTAGGGTTCTCAAGAGAAGGAACACAAGTCAAGCCCAAAGGAGTGCGTTTCAAGATCCCTCGTGGGAAATTTCATCTCACTCACTGAGAACGCCCCTCCCCTGCCCTCAGAGTTTTGCCAAGACCTAAGGATCTTACGCCAGTCCTGATACATAAGTCACCCTGAGCCTGTCCACAGGGCCTCCCTCCTAGGGTGCCTCTGGCTGCTTGTGGGGGAGGAAGAGGGAAGGGGAGAGATGGACACTCTAGTTAGGGTTCAGCCAGGACAGTGGCAGAGGGAGAGGAGGAGGGGAGGACAGAGGATGGCCAGGCCTGGGCGGTACTTGCAAAGGGACCAGAAAGGGCACAGGAAGTAAAGATGGTTCCAGATCGGTTGTGCCTCCCCTCAAAGACATCTGGGTTGGGAGGGATGCCCAGCTGGGGTTCCGCCCCATGCCAGCCGGCCAGGGCAGGCTGCTCTTCTCAGCCTGGCATGTCACCACTGCAGAAGAGCCCTTCAGAGTGTCCATCGCTGTCTGCGAAGTGGGGCAGCACTCAGCCCTGGAGGAGCTGAGGCACTAACCTGGAGGCGGGTCGTGGGCGGTTACCTCCAGCAGACAGCGCCTGTGAAGCCCTCGCATCATTGTTGGCATATGTTTTGCTTCTACATGTGGGATAAGCCACAATTATTTTTTATGGAAAACTTCATGAATTTGTGTGTCATCCTGGTGCAGGGGCCATGCCAGTCTCTGCCGCAGTGAGCGCTGATGGTATGTTATCATTGTTACTATTCACACTTTTATTATTTTTTGCCGTAACTCTTCATTTTAGAGGATGTAAGGAAGGAGGGTTAACATTTACTAGCAAACTTCCACTTCCTGCCCTCTGCATGTATGTGTCTCCGCGCCACATCATCTCCCTTCCGCCTGAAGAATTTCCCGTAACACTGGCTATTGTGCAGGTCTGTGGCAAACACGTTCTGTCCGTTTCATTTTATTGTGGCAAAAAAGATCACAACATAGACGTTGTCCTGTGACTATTTTCAAGTGTCCAATTCAGGGGCGTTAAGTACCTTCCCAATACTGCACGGTCATCATCCTGGCCGTCCACAACTTCCTCCGGGCTCCAAACAGAAACCCTGACTAAGCACTTGGTCTCCATTCCCCCTCCCACAGCCCTTGGTCACCGCAGGTCTGCTGGCTGGCTGTGTCAGTTGGCCTACTCTGGACGGTTCACATAAACGGAATCATGCGCTAGTTGCCCTTCTGTGACTGGCGTCCTTCGCATCACGTGGCTGAGGCTGGGCCATGGGGCAGCAGAGCCTCCCTCCGCAAGGCTAACTCGGCGCGCTGCAGGGCAGCCCACACGGATGGCGGGCGACTGCGAACGGGGCTTCCCGAACAGGGCCGTGCAAGCGGGGCGTGCGGCCCTGCCCTCACTCTCACTTCTCTAGGGCGCCCGCCCGGGGCAGGGGATCGCTGGGTCATGTGCTACTATTCCTAATTTTTTGGGGAACCTCCAGACTGCCTTCGCAGCAGCTGCACCATTTCGCACCCCCCAGCAGAGCACAAGTCTGTGTGCACCTGTTTGTTCCCGACCCAGGGGCTCCTCGTTCTCGGTCTTCCCCTGCGCTAGCCCACGGGGCAGCGTTAACAGCGCCACCAGGTCGCCCCCGCAGAGCCTCCAGAGTCTAACTCTCCGCGGCTCCCGGTCTCGTCCTACGGGGAACGACAGCCCGCGGCCCGGGGGCCAGCTGCGGCCGCCCCAGGGCCGGCCCACCCCGCTCGGTCGCCGCCCCGTCCCCGTGCG